GGGAAATTGGCAAGGAAATTTCCTATTAATAAGGTTGGTGAAAGGGTAAATGATAAGACTTTAATTGCTGAAAAGTCACTAGACTTTTGTAAGCATATGAATGACTTTATTCTGGAGTTTTTTTTTTTTTTTGGTGATAGTTTCTTTTTTTTTTTTTCATTTTTCTTTTATTATTCATATGTGCATACAAGGCTTGGTTCATTTCTCCCCCCTGCCCCCACCCCCTCCCTTACCACCCACTCCGCCCCCTCCCTCTCCCCCCCCAATACCCAGCAGAAACTATTTTGCCTTTATTTCTAATTTTGTTGTAGAGAGAGTATAAGCGGAGTTTAGCAGATTTCTTCAGAGCTCATTCAATAATTTTAACTCACACAACAGTCAGTACAACAGAAAGAAGAAATACTGTGTGGAGGCACAGGTTTACTTTGATTTTCATACTTCTCTATTGCCTTAAAGGCCATATAGACACATCAGGCCTTGATTTTCTGCCCCAGCAATGGGGATGAGGAAAGCAGATAACTTTATTCAACCTCTGGAGTGTTGTTGCTTTGGCAATTTCCAGACTTGATGTGATAGCAATTATCTGATTAGTAAAAATTATGTTACAGGGAATCTGAAGAGACACTCAGAATGCAGAGTTGTAAAGAGAATATTATTTATTAGAAGAACAACAAAGTACTTACATCTTGCTATTTAACAGATAAGGTCTGGGCTACTGGGAGTAGTAAATTTATTTGGAGCCTAAAATACCAAGCTTAGATACTTGAGAATTTCTGTTTACAGCCTCAGAGTTGAGTTTTTCTTATCTTTTCTTTAAAAAAAATTTGGTAAAGATCTACTGAAAATTACTGGGAAAATATAAAATTTTAATAGCATCACTGACCATAGGTATTGTAAGATATTCTTTCTGCAGAAATAGTGAATAAACCAAGCATGGCACTGATAGTATATTTTCTTCTAAAAATGCAAGTGTATAGCAGTTAATACTGTATTCTTTCATCATATATGAATAAACTTTATAAATTATAATGTATACATCAAACCACTTCCTTTATGAAAAATAGCTATATTTTGGAGTCAAAGAATTCTAACGCACAGCCAACTCTAGACCTTTTTATCCCTCAGTGCTGGAACTCCAACCCAGGGTCTTGAGCATGTTATGTGAGCACTCTACCACTGAGCTACATCCTCCACTCCTAGATTCTTTTTTGTTAATGGACTATGGGGAGATCACGAACAAATAAAGATGTTTTATTCAGTTGATAAATATTTTGACCATCTATTACATGCCAACCACTGTGTTAGGGACTGGCATAGACTGCATGGACATAACAAACATGTACTCTGCTCTAGTGAAGTCTGTGGTGTAATGGAAGAAGGTGACAAATAAGTGATTCCAATGTAGCATGAGAAGGGCTGATAGGAGAAATACAGGCTTCCACAATAAGGAACCAAGCACATAATGAGGTACCAAAACCAGATTTAAAGGAGTCATAAGTTTTCTTAGAGGACCTGATGTCTAAGTTGAGGACTAAGGCTGTGTAGCTATCGTTCAGTCTGGTTGGGAGGAGTAAAGAAGGAAGGCAGAGGATGTGTGAAGTTCTGGAAGAAAGTATGTCTGTTTTTTTTTTTTATTATTATTATTTTCCTTTTTTCATTTTTCTTTTATTATTCATATGTGCATACAAGGCTTGGTTCATTTCTCCCCCCTGCCCCCACCCCCTCCCTTACCACCCACTCCGCCCCCTCCCTCTCCCCCCCTCAATACCCAGCAGAAACTATTTTGCCCTTATTTCTAATTTTGTTGTAGAGAGAGTATAAGCAATAATAGGAAGGAACAAGGGGTTTTGCTGGTTGAGATAAGGATAGCTATACAGGGCATTGACTCACATTGATTTCCTGTGCGTGGGTGTTACCTTCTAGGTTAATTCTTTTTGATCTAACCTTTTCTCTAGTACCTGTTCCCCTTTTCCTATTGGCCTCAGTTGCTTTAAGGTATCTGCTTTAGTTTCTCTGCGTTAAGGGCAACAAATGCTAGCTAGTTTTTTAGGTGTCTTACCTATCCTCACCCCTCCCTTGTGTGCTCTCGCTTTTATCATGTGCTCATAGTCCAATCCCCTTGTTGTGTTTGCCCTTGATCTAATGTCCACATATGAGGGAGAACATACGATTTTTGGTTTTTTGAGCCAGGCTAACCTCACTCAGAATGATGTTCTCCAATTCCATCCATTTACCAGAGAATGATAACATTTCGTTCTTCTTCATGGCTGCATAAAATTCCATTGTGTATAGATACCACATTTTCTTAATCCATTCGTCAGTGCTGGGGCATCTTGGCTGTTTCCATAACTTGGCTATTGTGAATAGTGCCGCAATAAACATGGATGTGCAGGTGCCTCTGGAGTAACAGTCTTTTGGGTATATCCCCAAGAGTGGTATTGCTGGATCAAATGGTAGATCGATGTCCAGCTTTTTAAGTAGCCTCCAAATTTTTTTCCAGAGTGGTTGTACTAGTCTACATTCCCACCAACAGTGTAAGAGGGTTCCTTTTTCCCCGCATCCTCGCCAACACCTGTTGTTGGTGGTGTTGCTGATGATGGCTATTCTAACAGGGGTGAGGTGGAATCTTAGTGTGGTTTTAATTTGCATTTCCTTTATTGCTAGAGATGGTGAGCATTTTTTCATGTGTTTTCTGGCCATTTGAATTTCTTCTTTTGAGAAAGTTCTGTTTAGTTCACTTGCCCATTTCTTTATTGGTTCATTAGTTTTGGGAGAATTTAGTTTTTTAAGTTCCCTGTATATTCTGGTTATTAGTCCTTTGTCTGATGTGTAGCTGGCAAATATTCTCTCCCACTCTGTGGGTGTTCTCTTCAGTTTAGAGACCATTTCTTTTGATGAACAGAAGCTTTTTAGTTTTATGAGGTCCCATTTATCTATGCTATCTCTTAGTTGCTGTGCTGCTGGGGTTTCATTGAGAAAGTTCTTACCTATACCTACTAACTCCAGAGTATTTCCTACTCTTTCTTGTATCAACTTTAGAGTTTGTGGTCTGATATTAAGATCCTTGATCCATTTTGAGTTAATCTTGGTATAGGGTGATATACATGGATCTAGTTTCAGTTTTTTGCAGACTGCTAACCAGTTTTCCCAGCAGTTTTTGTTGAAGAGGCTGCTATTTCTCCATCGTATATTTTTAGCTCCTTTGTCAAAGATAAGTTGCTTATAGTTGTGAGGCTTCATATCAGTATGTCTGTTTTTAAAAGTACTGAAAAAAAATTCAGTATAGCTGAATCTTGAAGAGGAAGGGTAGTAGAATGGAAAAACAGGAATGAATGTTCATGAAGAGCCTTCCAAAATTATAAGGAGTAAAGACTTTATCATGATAGCAAAAAGAAGCCATTAAAAAGAATTAGGTTGAGAACAGTCAATATTTTAGAAATACTACTGTAACTAGATAGTCGGAAATGAATGTAGGGAGACCAAATCAGGATTCTGGGATAGCATTTCAGGTGTGACAATGGTGGTATGGACTAGTTAGTGATGTTGGGAATGAAGAGTAAAAGACTAAAGAAAATTTTAGAAATAGAAAGGACTTGGAGATTGGTTATATGTGGGTAGTACAGGACCTAACTAGAGCTCCTAAAGAATTAGAGTCACCTCTAATTCTTTTGTGAGCAGTTGGGGTAAAGACTGTCATTTGCTGAGAAGAGAAACAGAAAGAAAAGATTTAAGAGAAAGAACCTGAGATCTTTTTAAGGACATGCTGAATTTGAGGAACTATAGGATAACCCAGTATTGGACAAGCAATTAAATGGATGGATTTTGTATTCTGTCCAGTGTTTGGACCTAGTGACGGGGGAGTTGTTAGTATGAAAATAGTAACTGAAACTATGAGAATAGTGACATGGTCTTAGATGCTGTATGGAGTGATTAGAGAGCAGGCTGTTGGCTTGACCTTCAAGAAACATCAAAAATTAAGTGTTGGGCAGAGAAACTGGAGTTATAAAAGACCTCAAATCTACCATTGAAGCCTTAATTTATTTATTAGTTTATATTCTGCTTGGCTAACTCCATTATTAGTGGTACTAAGAGGTATGAAAATATTGTTTGATTTTTTTTCTTCTTCCTTTGCCTTGCAAAGCCATAAACTGGTAAGGAAAACATTTAAATAACCTGAAATCAATAAACATTTGTAAAACAGCTTAAAATACAATCTACAAACCAAACAGCCCTATATTGCTCAACTCCTAGCTTCACTTGTTTTTAGCTCTATATTATTATACTGGTCTTTTACTTATGCTGTAATTTATGCTCCAACAGTTCTGTAACAGTTTCTCTTTTTCTAATTGTCTGGATAGTCTTTATGAATTTGCATCTCAGTTACAGCCCAGAGAGATTTTCTCTCATCAAAACATTTTGACATGTTTCAGAAAACAACCATGGTCCACAATCCTGCAAAAGATACAGATACAGTTTTGGATGGGTAGATTGACTTTATGTGCTCTCTTTCTTTCTTTTTTTATTGGCACAGGGGGTTGAATTCAGAGCCTTCCCACGCCACTTAAGCACTCATTACTATTAGAGCAACCCCCCGCCCCGCCCCTGCCCTTTTACTTTTACATTTTCAGATAGGGTCTCACACAAACTATGCTAGCCTTGAAACTCCAACTTCCCAGTAGCTGGGATTGCAGGTGTGAACCATCATGTCTGGCTACATGCTTTCTTTTGTTTCACAAAAAGTATCATTTTTTTTCCTTTCACATTCTGTAGTAGAAATGGGAATGTAGCCTCCAGGTTGGATCACTGGTATACTGATGTAGTTCTCACCACTGGTTCTCCAGGAAGAAAAAGAGTCCTGATTTGTAGTGTTTGCCAATGTTTATGGTGTAAATACTCCCATAGCCAACTTAAGCTACTAACTTGATATGGCTGAAGGCATTCAAAATAGGAACCACAGGCTTTTGTAAGGCAGTACAAGCTGGCTCAGTGCTGGGGATGATGTGAAATATAATGAGGTATGGGCAAGTGTCTTGTAGATGACAGCTTAAGATACAAGAAGACTAAATTCAACAACATACCGAATTTTTACTTTAAGGAAAATTGATATCAGGTATAGTCAGTTTATTTATAGATGTTGACCTTTTTTCCTTTGAATTAAGGGCTGACAGTTTGAGCTTTGAATACATCAGTAATCTAATAACCTTAACATTGTAACTTCTATTTCTTTATTCATAAGCAATATGTTTCTATAATTGACGTATATTTAAGATCGAAATGACTGAGAATTGTTTTTAATCTAATTTCTTATACCACAAGGCGGAGAAATTACCATTTTTCTTTCAGGATATTTGTACAAACAATCTGCATTCTAATATATTTCATAAAGGAAGATATTTTGTCTTCATCAAATCAGGAAAGTCTGGCTTTTTCCCCTTATCCAACCAAAAGATTTTATGGGACACTACTACTGCACAAACTAATAATTTATGTAAAAAGAGAGCAGCGAAATTTTCCTTATTTCTTTATATAACTTAACACATACCTTATTAACATCAGTGTGCAGATGGACAGTATTGACAGCAAACTAAATAATAACCACTGAAACTTATTTTTAAAATATTTTAAACAATAAGCACTGGTAGAACCAGAGATGCTATTATGTACACTTTATCTTTCTTTTTTTTGCACTCCAAAGGGAACTTAAAATTCCTGATCGTATTAGAAAAGAATACATTTATTAATATTTTATGTGGACATACAAAATTTCTATTGAAAACTTTGCGATTCTACTGTATACAAATGAAAACAATTTCCACCTACACTGAGCTCATAAAAGTTACTATAAAATATTGCAAACCCAATAAAAACACATTGATATACTACAAAGTTTTTGTTTTTAAAAGTTAAAATTTTAAAGGACTGTATTTGTACAAATGCACAATACTTTTTTAGTGCCCTTGATTGGTACTTCTGTTTAGGATTATCTGATTTTAGAAATTTAAATTAAATGTTTTTTGTTATTTTCTGCTTCAGGATGGAAGATACTGAAAACTCATAGAATGCACTTTTAAAACTGAACTGGATAAAAACTTGACAAAGCAAAATGGTAAATATTCTACATGCTTTGGTTACTGCCCTACCAAAGAAAAATGTCCCACTACCCTATTTTCCTTTATTTAACTTGAATTCCTAGATAATTAACTCTTTTGCTCAAATAATCTATTAGACAAAATTGTAAGGATTTTAAGTTCTCTAACAAAATGTCACTAAAGCCAGTTTCTAAAAAGAACTGCTTAGTTCAATATAAAACCCACGTTAAGACACATTGTGCCATGTTAAGACACATTAATAGCATAGCTAGCCAATTATTGACTTGGATTTTGCTTTAGAAAAATATCACAATTGGTTGTTAAGTTCCAAATTTAAGCATCTGATTTTATACTGTAGTACTTTCCAATAGCTGTCAAAAAATGATCTGATTTTTAAATAATTATAATAAAATATAAATCAATTTTTTGGAAAAATCCATCCCAAGATAGGAAATACACTGTTTTAAATCTCAGAATAATTGTTATAAAAGAACTATAAAAATTATAAATTTTTGAAAAAAATACACTGAAAATGCCTCTCTAGGAAAAATATGTAACTGGTTACATACAAGAAGACAGGCATTAATTACCATAGGGTGTAGCCAACTGTGGACTTGGCTTAAAAGACTTAAAAAAGTCACAAAAAGTAATTAGCACCAAGATTACCTAAAACTTCAAATAATGTACTGAAGAAATTCCAGGTCCGAGTATTACATTATAAAAATGTTATATTTAACCTGAGAACTTTCTCCAGCAATAATAAATATATTCCTTTCAATCTTTAGAAAATGTGCTGGCTTTGTTCATTTTCACCACAATGTTAAGGTAGTGTGAGGTAATTATCCATTTACCTTGGTTTGGGTTGAGCAGGGACAACAGAAAGATAAGTATATTCCAAATAAAATGGGACGATTTGATGGGGTAGTGGTAGAACAGATTTCCAATAAAAACTTGTTTTTTAGCTTGTATCCTCCTTTTTCTTGTAAAATTGTTAATGAAACTCTTTATAAGAACTATATGGCTTGATTTGAACTCCATACTCTATTTTTTCCCCTGCTTACTGTTTGGTGATGCTATTTAAGATTTGGCAAGTGGACAGAGGTGTCTAAAAATGAGTATAAATCACAATAGTGAAACAAGAATTTTGAATAAGCTAATGTATATTCAAAAATATATATTCAGCCTGTTATAACAAAGAGTTTAGTTTAGTTTTAAACAACATCCATTTACAAATTTAATTACAAAGCTGCCAGCACACAATCTGGAACAAGTCAAACCTTTTGGCTTTCAAAAAGCCAAAATGTGTAACTCTATCAATTACATACATGGCTACTAAATGTCCAACGACTCATTTGGCCATGTTTTACTGTTGCACATAAATAATGACAAGGCAAAGAACAGCAACTAGTCCAAGGGCTTGTAGACCAAGGAACCACAGCATAAGCCAGAAGAAAATGACTATTACTGGTTCCACAATTCGTTCTCCAAAATACATCCTGGTGAAGCCCATGTCGAGGAGGCTTTTGTTCAGTTCACCAAAAAGAGTTCCCATCTTTTTGTAGTCATCTCCAACAGGCTCGCCAGTATGGTTCTGTGATTCTTCAATATCCTTAAAAAAGACAAACCAAAGGATGAACATAAAATGAGAAATCTGTAAAGGGTCTTTAAGAACAACAACTATCTCATAGTTCTTTATTCATGTGATAATCATTTAAAAAATACTTGCTCGCTTAATATAGCAGAATGTTCCTTTTGATTGGCATAAGAATACTGTGCATAAACCCACCTTTCAAGAATGTAGAAAGCACTAACTTATTGATTTCCGTCAATCGATATTGAATATCTGATTCACTTCCATTCATTTTCTTGTTTCTTGGACTTGCACAAAGATGGCTGCTTAAATGAAGAATCATGTTTCTATTTCTCTTTTTGTTTCAGAATGACTTTGTCTGCACTCTCCTGTTTCACGAGGCAGGGCTCCTAACTGCTCTGCTCTGGTGAGCTTCTTTTTAGTCCAGAAGCATGACTGGCTGTTATTACTGAGCAATCTTCAGCCTCAGCTAAGAAGACTTCAATGTAGGCCCTTGCATAACTTCCTGTTCAAATGCTACAAAGCTCCTAAAGGCTTCTTACCAATCTCCTCAGTAGAAACAAAGTTTGCCTGAAAAATGTCCATGTGTACTCAACTATACATACCAAAACCATTATTTCTATTATCTCCCAATCTTATTACATTGAAAGTCATCATGATAATTATTAAGCTACAGTTTTCACTTCAGATCCTTTGCTATGGTTCCATACTGTTTGCTCCCTAAAAGGTTCATATGTTGGGAGCCTGGTGTTCAGTATGATGTTGGGAGGTGAAACCTTAAAAAGGTGAGTCCTATTGGGATTATTACATCAATTGTAGGTGTGCTCTCAAAATTTATTAAGGTATTTCTTGTGGAACCCCAAGAAAATTCTTCTAGGACTGTAATAAAAGCCTGAACTTGGCCCCACCTCTAGCTTTCTCTAGATTCCTGCTTCACCATGTAATCAGTTCTTCCAACACATGCTTCTCTGACTGCAATCTACCTTGAGCTAATGCAGCCAATAGGGAGCCCTCACCAGAGCCTGCACCATGCCATCTGGACTTTCAGCGTCCAAAACTGTTAGCTAGGTCAGTCTCATTTCTTTGTAGTGTTATCCTGCTGCATGTATTTTGCTATAGTAATGAAAATGACTAATACAACCACTCTTTGGAGTTCTGCAGATTTCTGGCTCCCTGAGAAGTTGTGCAAATAGAAGGACTGACTGAGACACTGCACAGATAGAGAAGGAAGAAGGAATTTACTATCCTTTGCTTTGGAATGGTTTCTTGATCGTGTTAATTTCATTCTAGCAGTTCTTCACTCTAGTGGCAGCAATTCCTTTCAGTAACAGCAACTGATTGTAATTTGGGAGCTTCCCACATTTGTAGAACCTGTCTCAAGGTGTCTGCTTCAGACACCAGCTCCAAGTTGTGGGTACCTCTTTCTCAGGTATCTGGTTCCTCAGTAGATAGGGTTCCTTCTCTGAACTCAGAGACACCTGTTCCAGTTAAGCAGTAACCTGTTCTTAGAAGTCTGAGCTTCAGCTCTGTGGGGCCTTTTCTCAATCTTCTCAGTTTTAGTAATTTCATCTCTTTGCTTCCTCAGTCCTAGGAAGGATGGCTGCTTCTGGCTGTTGCTATCTCTGAAATATTTTAAGGTGTTGGTTTTTAAAATGATAGCACACATCAGAATCCCATGGAGACTATGTTAAAGCACAGATTGCAGGGCCCACTATCATGGTTTCTGATTCAGTAAGTCAGGGGTGAGACTTGGAATCAAGAATCCGTATTGCTAGCAAGTTTCAGGGCGATGCTCATGATGCTGGTCTGGTGACTGTCCTCTGAAAATCAGTGCTGCAGTGTTTTCTTCCTGCCACTTCCAGTCTTTAATGCCTAGTTAACAAGTATTTATATTATCTTTGTTGATAGAGCAGATATAGTTTCTCTCTCCTCACTAGGCCCTGGTGCAGTCATAAAAGATATACTGCCATGTAGGAGACATAATTATTATTTAGGAAATCTAAGTTTTTTAGGAGTCATGGCTCACATAACTATTGGACATTACTTGCTTATAGTATGCACAATAGGTGCAAGATGGACAACTGCATTTTTATAAACCTTTAGATATAGAGTTGCACTTAAAAACAGGTAAGTAGTAAGCATCATTAAATATGTTGCTTAGGACAAAGGAAAGTAAGTCTAAGTATCTTAAAAAGGGAGTGTCATAAAAATCACCTGCCATAAAAGTAAGAAATTTGAAGATCTTTTAAGGCATTTGTCAAGCACCTGATTCAAACTTACATTCCTGTAGTAGAAACCAAAGCTTGATCATTTCAATCTTCTATCAATAAATAAGTAAGCATATTTTCTCATTTTAAAAATGAGGGCTATACAAAGTTTTATTTTCTATCCCAGACTACAGTTTAAAATACATCTTCGAACAAAGAGTTCGAACTTTTGTTTGAAATAGTCCAGCAGAGTAGCTTTCAGTACGACTTTAAGAAGAGAGCTCTTCCCATATCTTAGTAGTTTTTATAGAACAGAGTACCATGATGGATTGGTGAGCTAGTGAAAAACAGAGACCCGCTGGGGCAACACTGTTAGCTTACATTATATGTTTAAGCAGAGTTATTTTTCAGCTATATTTATATATAATTTTTAAAATTAATATTGGGTTTTAATTTCTATCAGAAAAAGAGTGGGAAAAACAGTATACTGCAAAGTTATCTAGGGAGCTCCAATCTAGGTAGTACTGGGGTTTGAACTCAGGGCTTCTATGTACTCTACTCCTTGAGTCACACCTCCAGCTCTTTTTGTTTTAGTTATTTTTCAGATAGAGTCTACTGTTTTTGCCTAGGCCAACCTAGACCTCAATCCTCTACCTCCTTCTCCCATATAGCTGGGTTCACAGATGTGTCCCACCATGCTTGGCTTGTTGGTTGAGATGGGATCTTGCTAACTTTTTGCCTAGCCTGGCCTTGAACTACAATCCTCCTGATCTCCTGCTGAGTAGCTGGGATTACAAGACATGAGCCACTATACTCAGTTCTAATTTTCTCTTAAATTATAATTTATGTGTCAATCTTTCCTTTTTTTAAAAAAATCTTTATTTCTAAATATATTTTCCTTCACCAATAAGCTGTGATTGAGTTGACTTTATGGTTCTTAGTTTCCCATACTTTTATTGTGTTTCAGGCCTTTTTTTCCCTTTAGGGTAGAATTTGAAGAGTCTGGTTTAGTTTGTAATTCTTCTGGTGCCTCATCTCTCTCTATTTCTCTAATGTTTGACATTGCTGATGTTGGTTAGGGTTTTTTTTTTTTTTTTTTTAATTCTTCACAGTTTGTTGTAATCTATTCACTCATACTTTGGTTATTTTTATGGTTTTAATATAAAGTACCCTAATCTGATGTGATAGGTATTCTTTGAAAATTAACTTTAAATTCTTAAATAAATTAAATGTACAAATGTTTGTGGGTTTTTCAGAGAAGAAGTAAGTGTTGCAACATTAAACCAAACTAAGGAATTCATTAACTCCTAGAGGCCAGGTGAGGAGCCAGCAACCAACACATCATCTTAAATCCTACAGTTGACAGGATTGAGACTGGAGTAAAAGATCCAGTAGACATGTGTGGTAAAGCTGTGCTGTTGCAGCCTGCCTCCTCTTCTCTTAATTGAAAAAAAAACTTCAAGTATACATAAAATTAGGAAAAAAGTACAATGTACAACTACTTATCAACCACATTTAATAATTACTAAAATTTTGCCACTTTGCTGTAGTACTTCTTAATCTGGGTAACCTAATGTAGAGGAAAAAAATCAGTCACTAGAAAAGTATCTAAAAGTAATGTCTCTTTACAAATCAAATTGTATAGAAGCAGCAATGAGTTGAGTAGAGTCCAAAGATGACACTGGAAAACATGGAAAAGAAGTGGGCAGTATTCTTGATTTACAGATAATCAGTGCCACTACCGTATTTTCAGTAACTAATCTATCCCTCCTTGTTTGTACAGTGGTAAAAACAATGTGTGCTGGTTTAATAGGCTGTGTAGGGTTGAGAAGCCCTGATTTGTAGTACTTGCCAGTTCTACAGTGTCTTCCAGTTTCTGTTAGTACACCCATTGTTGGGAACTTCAAGTTACTTTAAAAACTGGGTCCTAAGGAAGGCCAGCAGCCAGCACCAGCACTGCACTGTAAAAACAGCACCTGAGATAAAAAAAACTGCATCAACTGGTATATTTTTGTGTTTTTTTTTTTAAGTTTGCAAAAGTGAAAAATTGGGTTAGTTAGTATGAAGTTAGTATAATAACTTCATTATAATAAATTAAACCAGGAAAATTATATTGAGAAATTATGACTAGAGTAGTAGAGGTGGCTAGATAGAATTAAATGTGTATAGTGACAAATGTATTACAAGTAACATTTTGCTTTTTCTGGTGTGCCTCACGCAGATACCAAAAGAGCATGCAATTCAGGAACTTCTAGAAGTCCCTATTTACATGACTATTTAGACTGCTTAGCTGATAGGTCAGAAACACACTTCTTCAATGCTCCCCCACTCAATGAGTGACATCACCATCCACGTCAGATCTGGAGGCCAGAAGCCTGAGGCATTATTGACTCCTCCCTCCTCACACAGCCCACATTCTGATCACCACCTCTTTATTTTACACTCTAAATTTCCTTAAGGTATATGGACTACTCCACTGCTAACCCCTAAACCAATCTCCTGCCATTTCTTGTCTTGACTGCTCGGTTTCCTAACAATGCTCTAATGCACATTTATAGCCACCCATAATCTGTGTGTATCACCCTAAAGCTACAGCGATCCTTTCAAACTGCAAATCCAACCATGACACCCTTACCTTACTTCTAAGATCAAGGCTAAAATCTTTAACATGATCTATGAGGCCCTCCTTAGTCTGGCGTCTGTCTGGTCTCTGGGTTCATTATATGATCAAACTCCCTCTGTCTTTCTGTTTCAGTCACACAGGTCCTTCTTTCAGCTTCTTGAATAGGCCATGCTCTTGCTGTTTTCTCT